CAGCCCATCAAGCCTGCTCCGCCATTTACTGGGCCCTCACCTTGGACACCGGGTCTCTCAGGGCAGGCACTGGGGCACAGGCTGCCCTCACCCTCCAACCACAGACACTAGCATTGGCTCATGCCAGCCTCTCTGATCCACTTACAGAACGCTGCTGCACTTCAGTGCAGTTTGGGGTCCACCAGTAACTACCACTGCAATGCTGCTGATGCAAGGACATTTTGTGCTCAGAGACAGGCGCATGCCTTGCCCTTTATTATTTGCTGACTTAGACAGAGCTACAGGCTCCCATCGCTTGTGTCTTGCAGTGCTGTTTAGAGTAGACACAAAGCGAGGGGGTTTGTGGGAGTTGTCAGCAGTCTCCAGGGAAACAGTCTGCATCTGGGGATCCCAGCACAGTAAACCAAGGGCAGCCTCCAGTCCCAGTCCATGGGCTTTGATGCAGTCACTCACTCCCTTAGGGCAGCCAGGGTCAGGACCCTCTTGTTGTAACATGCTAGGAACTGAAAGTCTGGCAGTCTACCCCCTGCTCGTACCCTGGCTCTTTCTTCCCTATTGTGGGCCACTTTCATCTGTAATGAAAGAAAGGGAAGGATTGAGTGAGGTAGAATGGATGGCACAGCTGTTTTGTGTTGGTGTATACCAATGAAAATCAGTGAGTTGTGCCAGGGGGAGTGAGTTGGCATCACAAAGGGTGTGCAGGGTTGGTGGTGTCGGGGTTGGGGTAGGTAAGATAGAGTTGCACGTGCCAGTGAGAGAGGGAGAGTTTGAGCCTTGATAGGAGGTGGGTACAGTAGCAGAGACAGAGTAAAGGAGCAGAGAAGAGATGGTGGCACACACCTTGGCAGAGAAGAGAAGGTCATTGACCTTCTTTTGCCACTGCTGGGTAGAGGCTGAGATCACCTAGTGTCCAGACCTCCACTGCTGGGCCTGGGGGAAAGAGGACCTTCCTTCCTCAGCACCACCCTGGTGTAGTAGGACCTGCCAGTGCCCATCCATAAAGTGAAATGCTGATTCCCCCCGCCTTCCCTACCACATCCAGGGCAAATGTTAGCCTCCATGCCAGGCAGCTGCAGAACTCCAGTGCTGGTCCAGGTACACAACCTCCTTATAAAGATGGCATGGGTGCCAAGGATGTTGGTGGTGTGTTCTTCTGGGCAAGATGGGTGGCAGACTATCATTGGATGAGAGCGTTGCCTTGGAGGTGGGGGAGTTTAGTTGTAGGTAATTAGTGAGACAAGTCTGGGGCAATGTGACTGAAAATCACTCTGGACCTCGCAGAGAAAAACCCACCATAGAATCCGACACATTTGATACTTAAGCATGGCAAGGTTTAGCTGACTGTGTGAACACAGAGTGCTTTTTGCCTGCAAAGGAAACCATGATGATTAACGTTTTGATTCCGGCCAACAGGAGCAGAAAGTGAATTGAACAGATGACATCTGACAGAGACAGATGTGAGGCAATAAAGGAACAAGCCCTTCCCACAATCTCACCAACCTTGGATTATGCCGAGTCACTGCTGCAATTCAATCTTCCTCAGCTATTTGTGTGACCCCCAAACAACAGTGTGTGAAATATTTCTGGAATACGCAATGACCTCCTGTCAATTAAAGTAGAGCAGCTGGTGCAGTGGTGTGTTGTATAAGTGATGATGGAGTGGGTTATTCCACTGCCTCGTAAAAAAAAATGATGTAGTGGTTTTATTCAACTCGAAAAGAAATTGTTCTGTATCATGCATCGTTTTATGTGTATTTTTTTTATCTATCCATTCCCTGTGGTAGCTCTGCTGTGCTTTGTATTTATGGTGCTTCACTGTAGAATCGTGCTGATAGAAATTAGACTTCATTGTGCCCTTTTAAGGGGGAGAAACTGACACATTGCTCCCCGATGTCAAGGTCCAATCAGTTGTGCAGCAGGGATTCTTGAGGAATGTTAGGCTATTTTTCAGGCACCTCAACCAGCCTTGGATCTCTCATGTACAGAAATGCAGGTCCCAGCGCCTGCAGCAAGCCCATCTTCTGAAATAGTCCACAGAGTCCTCACTGGTTTCCCCAGCAACCACTTCCAATGAAATACTTATTTAAAAAAAAATCATTCCTGAAGGGTCAAGAACAAAAGAGACTCATCCCAGCTTCATGACATCCCTGAGAGCTTGTGATCAAATCGTCTCCCAGGTTTGATCTTCTTTCCCTTTTCCAGGGATTTTCTGGAGGTCTGCACAGTGAAAACTAATTTTTCCTTTCTCCTGTGTAAGACAGGCAGCAGGTAGATTGAAAACATGGAATGGCTTCCAGCCAGGAAAGGGTCAGCCACTGCAGCTTCACGTTGCTGCTGTGCAGCTATTTCTGTAACGTTCTTCGTGCCATAAATATGACTTATTTACATCCGAGGCAGCTGTAGAGTGTGCACATGAATAACTAAAATCTGTTGCTCCAGAATTTTACCTGGTGAAAAATGAAGTGAGGGGGCTCCAGCTACAGAGTGCCTTTCACAATTTTGAGACATCTCAATTCACAGCCAATTAATTGCTTTCGAAGTGCACCCACTGTTTATAATCTAAGGACTGTGCACACAGCAAGATCCCAAATACAGCAATGCAATAACAGCTGCATTTGTTCTGGTGGTGTTTTTAGTGGTCGTAATGAGGTCAGCCAGGTGGACCTCATACAGTATGAGTTCCATGATTAGGGCTGTTAATCTGGTCCAATCAGGGAGCCATGGCTGACAGATAAGAACAGGAATGTCAGGCATCCTGTTCACTCTGAGAGCTGGCTCCGAGGGAGCTGGATCCGTGTCAAGGACTCTCCATATGTAAATAAAGGGTGACTTGGTTACGGGGTACCAGACTCTGTGGAATTAGTTCAGTGCTGAGTTCAAGGGCCCTGGAGAGATCACACTCCTGTTCTTGGAAAGATTCCATAAAATATGTTTTGCAAACGCTCTGAAGGACAGACTTTGGTTTAGCTTCTCACTGGAAAGCTGAACAATGCAGTACTCCCTCAATGGAGGTAACAACATCCTAACTCCCAATTGAGACAGCAATGCATCGATAGGGTCCAGCATGTAAATCACACAAAATGAGATTGATGCTGTTTACAGTTTCTACAGAGGGTACACTGCACTTTGCTTGAATCCTTTAAACAGGAGCAAGGTTGAATGCAGAGGATTTATTTTCTGTTGGCTCCTCGCGTTTCATCCAGATATTTGTGAAGTTGAGAGGGCTGAATTGTTTTTACTAATTGTTGTCTTACCTTCCAACCTTCCTGAAATTCCCTGCTAACCGTCTCAAGTAGCCTTTGCATTCTTTCTAAACAGCCCTTCTTAGTGCACCAAAGCTGAAGTATAAATAGAAGACAACACAATAAAACGAATGAACACACACAATAACGATTTCAGAAGGAAGATCTTTACCCAGGGAGTGGTGCGAATGCGAAACTTGCTGCCACATGGATTGGTTGGGGGTGAAATTTAAATATTCATATGAGGGAGAAGGGAATTGATAGGATGCACTGGTAAGGAGATGCTTGGGTGGAACAAAACCAGTATAGATCTGTGGGCCGAACGTCTGCTTCCTTCGCTGTAGAGTCTTCCAGATGTTGACTGTTAGTTTTGTTCCCTGGATGTCAGGAACTTCTTTTCAAGATGGTTGGAGAAAATTGCGAAACAAAGTTAACCTTTAGCCTCTTTGCTGATCAGTGCATCTCCAGATTATCTCACATCTGAATGTATTTTTCCCTGTGAATCTGTCATGGTCAGGCACTCAGTGCCTGCACTTCATCATTAATGAAATGCTATTGTAAGCTTGTGCTCCATTATAGGCTTCACCTTCACATATTCAAGGAATATTTGTGTCTTCGTATGGAAAATGCTTGTGTGTGTGAATGAATTCCAAAGACTAATGACCTTCTAACTCAAGAAATTGTACCTTATTTACAACTTAAATGGGACAGCCGTTATCTTTAAGCTAGCCCCTCATTCTGGATTCCCCCATAAGAGAGTACAATTTTTCAGCATCGAGAGTTTCAAACCATATCAGAGTCTTAGAGTTATTTTAATCAAACTGTTCATACACATACTGGAATCAGGTGGGACTTGAACTCTGGCTTCCTGGTTCAAAGGTAGAAACACTACCATTGCATCACTAAAGCCCCCGCAGAATCTTATATGTTGCTATAAGACCTCTTATTCTTCTGATCTCCAACAAGTATAAGCCCAAAGAGGAAAGGTCATTTGGTCCATCTTATGTCATTCACCTGGAATGCTCCTACAGTTTTTAAATGATTCAAGGGGTTTTACCTTCATTTCTTTACTTCAGAAATGATAAAATAATTTCTGACGTCAGTTTTAAATCTACATTTTACTAGTTTCACCATTGGCATCTATTTTGCAATTTAATTCAAATTGACCTTTTCCACACAATTTGCAATCTTAAATCCCTCCACACAATTAGACCTCAGAAATTGTCTCCCAAGGTTGAAAATCCTCAGGTTTCCTCACAACTCAGTTCAAAATAGGTCCTGGGTATTTTTAGGTCCCTCTGAGAGGATCTTGATTCACTGTTTTATATGAGTACCTCTCAACAAAGCAGCACTCCCTCAGTACTGCACTATGTGCTGACACCTCTCAAGTGGGAGTTGAACCTACAACGTTCTTATTGAAAAATGATATGACTAACACTGAGCCACAGCTGATGTGGTAATGTGGTTGTTTTATTTAAACCTGCTCTCAGTGCTTCATGCTGACACTGGGTATTCAGTGGGAACACTAAAGTGTTCTATTCTTCACTGTTAGCCCGTTATGTTGCAAAGAGTTCAATATCCTTGATATAAACACTTTGTAAAGAGCAGCATACCTAAAGGTGTTGTGATGCAATACTGTTTTGATAGAAAATGATTAATAGCTTTAGTTAAAGAGACAGTTTGATCAGTGAGTAATTGATGAAAAGTGTGCCATTTCTCACTGTCTAAAACCATTTATTTCTATTCACTACTCTTTAGACCAACAAGGGTGTGGCAAAGGGAGACTACCACCATGCCAGCTCAAGCTCACGACGGGCTCTGTTCTTGGCCGTGCTCTCAATCACCATCGGAACTGGCATTTACGTGGGTGTTGCCGTGGCACTGATAGCCTACCTGTCCAAGAACAACCATTTGTAGGACTCTGCCCAGTGTGGGCACATACAACCCTTTGGCCTACGACCTATTGAACCATGGGAGAAGAAGTCTCAAAATCAGAAGGTGAACTGGTCAACTCCAACATGGCTGTTGGAGCATTTGATTCAAGCAGACAACTCATCAGCATCCATTGTGCCAATCAATTGCATTAGTGTACAGTATCGGGAGGATGGACAACCAACTTCCTGAAAATTGCCTGGGCCCAATCTAGTAATTCAGTCAACTGAGCAGAGAGGAAGCTTTGTCCCATGTATAAGGACAAGGCAATCTTTCAGCAGGGTGTAAGAGCAGTGACAGTAATGTTCAGGCTGTCCAGATAGCAAGGCTTATGGTAGCTTTGAAAACAGTTTGTGAAGGCAAGGCTCTCCAAGAGATATCTATTTCATTCTCTCTTGTCAGCTTCTGTTGATCTCCTCACAGGTAAATAGCCTGTAACTCTGGTTAATGGCACTCTCCAATTGACTATCAGACCAGCCAGGGTGTGACAATCCCACTGCAATGTCCAATGAATCTTTGACAAGAATCTGCCTTGCCAGAAGTACTTGCAGGCTTCTTGCCAGGGGGCATCCACGATAGACTCCTTTTAAACCAGCCTGGTCTGTCCTGAGCCTGACATCACTGGGAAGGAGTCTGCACTTGTCTGCAGAATCTACCGAGGGAGGGGTTCCTACTCCTGGCACCTGTCAGCTGGAGACATAGGGACTGTGGCAGTGCCAGGATCTGCAGGCCTGTTAAAATTGATCCAGTCTGAGATATAATACACACACTCCAGCCCCCAGAGAAAGAACACAACGCAAGTCTGTGATGAGATGTTCCACGCTTTGATGCCTTTCATAGTTGAATTACTTGCCAACAATCTATGTCAATGCACCAATGTGCGTAACGGCACCAGACTTCATTATAATCTTGTTCCAGACATAGACAAAAACCTGATTTACAGAGGTGCAGTGAAAGTTACAGCTTTGACATTGAGGTAATGATTGAGTACGGCATCAAGGAGCCCCAGCAAAATTGAAGTCAGTGGGAACCAGGGGGAAACTCTCCACTGGTTAGAGTCATATCTAGTTCAAAGGAAGATAGGGGGAATGATCTCAGTCCCAGTTCCCATTGCAGGGGTTGCTTAGTGTGGTTTCCTTGAACGAACTATCCTTAACAATTTTCATCGATGACCTTCCATACATCACCAACTCAGAGATGGGATAGTTGCTGACACATGCACAACATTCCATCCCATTGCTGCCCAGGTGATAAGGTACAAGCAGCAAGACCTGAATTGTTGGGGCTGATCATTTGCAAGTAACATTTGTACAACAAAAGTGTAAAACTCTGAACATTTGCAACATGACAGAATGCATCCATCTCCCCCTAACATTCACCATTATTGCCATCACTGAATCTACACTTTCCACATCCTGGGGGTTACTAATTTGTCATTTTATCATCCCTTTAGCAAAAAGGAACAATTGTTTACTTAAAGCCAACTGTTACATAATGAATCAATTTTGCTTCAGAGCACAAAGGTGAGCAATGTTAAAATCTAAGAGCTAAGCCAGTGTAAGCACCTTTCACATAATGGGTAGTAGGATTCATTGAATCCCTGCAGTGCAGAAAAAGGCCATTCAGTCCATCATGTCTGCACTGACCTCCAAACAGCATCCCACCCTGTCCCCAAGCCCCCATGGCTAATGCACTAAGCTTTGATGTCCTCAAGCACTGTGGAAATGACCAATCTACCTAACTACACATCTTCGGACTGTTAGAGGAAACTGGAGCACCTGGCAGAAACCCACGCAGACACAGGGAGAACATGCAAACTCCACATAGATAGTCACCCAAGGCTGGAATTGAACCCAGGAGCCTGGCACTGTGAGGCAGCAGTGCTAACCACTGAACCACCAGGCCACCCACTATGATTGGCTATTAAGCATACTGCCCCAAAAATCCTCTTGATGGTTTAATTTGAACTTTCAAAACCAAGATCTGTATCTTTTTATAGTGTAAGGTATTGAGGGATGTAGAGCAATTAGTTGGGTGAACAGAGATACAGATCAGTCACATGGTGGAGACAGTTTAAGGATCCAAATGACCTCTTCCTGTTCATAAAAAATCCTTGTTTGTATTGATTCAAAAACATGATTGAAACAGGAATGAGATAACATTTAATAAAACAAAGAATTATGGATGCTGGAAATCTGAAACAAGAACATAAATTGTGGGAGAAACTCAGCAGGTCTGGCAGCATCTGTGAAGGGAATGCAAAGTTAATGTTTCGAGTCCAGTGACTCTTCTTCAGAATTTCAGAACTCTGTTTTGTCTCCAAAATACTGCCAGACCTACTGAGTTTCTCCAGCAATTTCTGTTTATGTATGTGACAACTTTTGTTTTGTCCCAACATCGTAACCTTTCCACAGGGTTAAAGGTGTTATCTTCTAAATCAAACAGCTTCCAATTTCTCAAATGCAGCATAGCCAAAATACAATTTGTAACCATGAAACCAAATTCTGCTTCATAATATAGTTTAACATTCTGGAACTGTGCCTGGAAGTTAAAACTGGATAGGGGGTCTTAATCCCTGATGTGTAATTAAGTAAACAGGTAAAAGAATTGAGTACTTAAAGATCTGCTCTTATTTCAAAGTGGCAATTTTTGTCTACATCCAGTGCCACCTTCCATTCTGTGCTTTATCAAGTCCTTATTCCCATCCCCTAAACACTTTGCATCATCTCCTTGACTTATCTCATTTCCTCTCCTATTATTTTCACCTACCTAACCTTTAGTGGGAGTCAGAATGCCATGAGCTCAAATCCCTCTCCAGTGACTTGAGAACATAGTCCGGGTTAACACTTTCAGTATATTACTGAGGGAACACTTTACTGTTGGAGTGGCCTTTTTAGATGAGATGTTACCATCTTAGGCAAAAGATCCCCTGCAACTATCTTAAAGAAGAACTGGTCCTGGCCAATATTTATCCCCCTGCCAGATTGATTAAAGCAGATTATGTGGTCATTATCACATTGCTGTTTTGGGGACGTGGCTGTGCACATATTAGCTGACACCACATTGTTTTCTCCTCATGTCTGCTATCCGGTAAAGTTACTCACAAAGGGGAAACTATAACCCATTGTCTTTGGAAAAATGTTATGATACCAAGACCATTGATCAGAATTGTCTGTAACTATCTGATCAGTGATGACATCATGCCAGCAATCACATCATCCAGAGAGATTACTGATGTTAAATTGGAAAAGCAAGAGTATGAATCGTAAAATCTCAATCTTGATTACATGCTGAGCAAATTTACATCAACATAGCTGATATACAACAAAGTCCTGTTGGATATTACTAGAACTTTTGAAAGTGCCAACAACATATTAGGACTGTATTCCATCACGACATATTCAGGAGAGTCTTTAACAAATCCTTTCCCAATGCTAACTGCAGTATTGAGAGATTGAAATGTTTTCCTTTGCTGGACACTCATTTGGCCAATCATATAATGCGAACCTGCTTAAACCAGGATACGAACAATTTAACTGGAGCATGCAGAACTGTCCACAGAATCAAAACTTTTAAAAAAATTGATTTTTAGTAATTGATTTAGTCACTTAATACATTTGTGGAAGTCACGCATGCAGAAGATTTAAAAAACGGTAATTGTATGTTATTTCAAATTTTATAAATAATGAATGCCCTCTTGTTAAGACAATGGTTTAAGAGCTACTTGCATGTAAAATTGGATGTGTATTAATCAAAATACATGCAGGAGATCACGGGAGTCCTTTTGCATTACCCATTTATGGATATATATTATACAGAGAGAAAGAGAGAGCTACAACAGAACTTTTATTGGCACGTTTATTATATATATTTTTCTGACTACTCTTGGATGAGTTTTAGCTTCAATGCTCAAAGCGAAGCTTCTTATATACTTTGTTTTCATTGGAATGAAATCTCAACAGTGAGAGAGACTGCAGCTAATGTACAACTGTTAGCCTGTGAGAGATTATGACCAATGACGATCAAAACCATTGGTTTAAATGATTCCAGTGATGACCGTGCATAACACACATTGAACCAGATAGTTCCTAAGAAATGGTGACCAATGTCTATCAAAACACATCTGACTGAATAGTTCCTGAATAATTGTGATTAGCATCCACAAAATATGGCGCCTGGGAAACTATGAGTGGTGTCCATCTAATCCCCTCTGGATTGAGTGAAGAATTTCTGACCAAGGTTGATGAAAATAAACCATGAGTACCGTTGGGACTGATGCCCAGTGTTGCTCATTAGGACTGACAGTCAGGCACTTCAATTTACAGAATATGATCTATAATGAAAGGGTGTCACTTTTGAAATTTAAGTACAGCTCCATAAATGTAATTGCTATGTTTCATCACTGTAACTAATTGTGAATCCCAATTTTAAAGTTGCTCTGATCCTGACGGTTTTACAGCGTTATGTTGATCATGTCGCTGATATTTATTTGTCATAAACACCTACACTTTATACATATTCAGCTATAAAATGAAGTCAAGGGAAGAGTGTAAAACAGAATGCTAATCCACTGTGGCCATTCCACATTATGAGCCAAGATATAATTATACCCCCATTATATTGGGCCAAACTGATTTTAGAGTTTTGCATTCAGTTCATTGGCACTGTTCCCCAGGAGGGACAAATAGGCCATGGAAGGAATGCAGTATAGATTTATCTAAATGATACCAGTGCTTAAAGGCTAAATTCTAAGGACAGGTCACTTAAACATCACCTGAATTGCCTTGAGTTAAAGGAGTATCTTGGCCACCAAGTGGAGGTGTTCAAAATGGATAAAATGATTTGAGAAAGGCGATAACAAATTCCTCAGACCAGGAAATCCAGATAAGGCATATGATCTTAAAATTTGAGTTGTCACATTTAGGATTGTTTTGAAGAATTTCACACAATGAAAACCTGGCGCCCAATTCCCAAATTAGTGGTGG